GGAGAGTTTGCTATTACCATTGCCAGGTATTTCACCTGTTTGCTTCTCAAACAGTCACCTCTCTCCTCAAGGCTCATACACCATCCAGTTTTTGCAAGTTCATAACATACTTTCTACTGTTGAGTTTGGCTGACTTCAGACTAGAGATCTACATCTAAAAGACTAAAACCAGGAGGCTCTGTTCTACTAGAAATTTATTTAGTAATCAGATGGAAAAATTGGCTTCAGGGGAAAACAAGAGTTAGATGCCAGAAAGAGATGAGAAAGTCAGACCTGGATAAAAGTAGTTCTAATTTTTAACATAAATGAAAGGCTTATTAAAGGTTTGTAGATGAGTCATGACAGCTTCTATGTAGATGAGAAATGTAACGAAATGGTATCCAAGTCATTATAAATTTTGCTATTTACACAACAGAGGAAAAAGAATGTTACCTACTTTATGTTTTTGTTTCCCTTCAAATCTTGCATACTTATTAAAATGTAGGGTTTCAAGTACCCATAGAAAAAATACAAACGTGCAGGGAGAATGATCACTAGAAAGAAAAGAGCAGCCAAGTCTTAAAACTGGATTTAAAATAATTCAGTCCTGCCTAAAGAGTCAAATAATGTTCTTTTTCCTCCCTACATAAAAGTTGCACTCATATTCATAACAATAGAAGAAAAGCACAGTTGCTTCATAACACTGGACATAGCTTTCCAGAAACAAGATAGCAACTACTCAGAAATGCTATGGAGAACATTAATCACACTTGCTATTTACATTAAAAGTAGTAGCTTTTTAATGAATTAAAAATAAAAGCAAAAAATCCCACCCATTTTTCAGTCACAGGACAGACTTGTCTATAATGTGAAGTCTCTGTTCTTTGCTTTTTGTCCAGCATTTCTTTCAAGATATATATCTATATATACAGATACACATCTGAGAGAGATGTATCAAAAGCTAAAACGTGTCTGGATGGAGAGCCTGCAAATTTCAGCTGAGATCACATTTGCAGTAGACAAACCCCCAAAGAAAAAAAAAAAAAGCTGGAATTACACATTTTAATGATATGACATTCCCTGTCCATGATCCACACAGGATCCATGTAGCAACCTGAACGTCTCGGTCTGCAGAAGTGGAGCTGGCAGCGGCCGCTCAGGTTCCTCGGTGCTGCCAGGCTGGAGCATCCCAGCCCTCCTAGGATGCAGAGGTTTCCATCCCACTGGAGGCTACTGGGATGTGTGTAGAGGAGGCCCAGCAGTGGTGATGTGGAGAGCTGCCACCCTCTGTGGGGACTGCAGATGGGAACCAAGTCCCTCAGCAGTCAGTGGAAATCACTCCTGGTGATGTCAGCAGGAGCTGGACAGAGGCCTGGGGCAGCAGCAGGCTCCGAGGACAGGAGGGCAGGACCAGGCATCGCCGACTCTCCCATCCAACCCCGGCACTGCCACAGCACAGCTTCTTGGGCTCTCAGTTCTCACTGGGATCTACAAAACCAGTCACTGATCTCATGCTTCTTCCATGAGAGGACAGCTGGACCCAACAGGAACTGCTGAGCACTGCAGCACTTCTTGTTCTTGTACATGCAGGATGGTAGTGGGCAACCGCCCCAATCTCTTACTCAGAACCAGGAAAATCCAGCCAGAGGATGCACCTCATAGCAGAGGAAAGACTGTCTGTTCTTCCAGCTGTCAGCACTCTGCTGCCCAGTCTCCACCATAACTTGCCAAAACCAGTGCAAATTCACAGGAAAAAGAATGTCCGCACCAAGAGGGTATAAATCCTTCCTCTTGTACGAGAATGGTACAAGTATTTACCCGGCATCTCTATCAAATATTGTAGAAAAGGTTACACAAAAATATTTAAATATATGGATACAGATACATAGATATTACACTCGCATAAAATATGTATATTCAAAACCCTTTGGGCAGTTTCACAGTTAGCTGAAAATGTATGCTTTAGAAATATGAACAATTTCCTACACTCTTCTAGTTTAAGTAGGGGGGGAGGGGAAAGAAGCATCAGCCTTATTAATACTGAATGCTAAGTGCAGAAGTTTAGCTGTAGCTGTAGGGGTTTGAAGCAATTGATTTGACAGAACCTCCTAGCATAAACTCTGTTTTAAAAATCCACATCTATTCCCTAGATTGCTTATTGTTTCATGAAATTGAAAACCTACATGTCCTGCTTGTATCAGCTAGATCTCCTGAGACCATTCAATTAAACCTCATAGGCTTGCAATACTTCCAAGATGGGACTGTGTACTGGGAGAACGCATGAACCTTAACGCAGTATTTCTGTGTGCTAATAGGAATTTATATTTTACTGTACAATTTAACTTTATAAATAAAAAACCTTAAATGACACCACAAGAAGCTCAAAGTTCTGAGAAAATTAAAGTCAGTATGAAATTTTACTTATAGACCACATAATTTACACAGATTTACATAAATACAGAGATATTAAAATATTAAATCAAAGCTAATTAACAGAGGATAGAGTTTTACATTATAACATTTTAATTCTAGTTACATTTTTGCAACTACTTTTAGTGTCATGGGATTATGTAAATAATATATATACCTGTATATCCATAATTATATACAAAGATATATATATTTATTACTCCATCCTTCTTTTTTTTCTTCAAAAATAGGGCAATTTTATAACTGCAATGAGATGTGACAAGCAGTACACTTCTGGGGAATTATTGCATGCCTTGAGTGCATAAGGCAGAAGGAAGAGTATCTGACTTCAGACACTAAAGAAGTGGAATCATCAACCAGAAATGCACTGGAGTGATTTGGAACATCTTATTGCTTTTATAAAACTCAAAATTATACACTGTTGGTTTTTTGTTGTGGATTTGTTTTGTAGTTTTTTTTAAAGGCACAAAATAAAGGGGAAAGTAATATCTCTCTATTTAGTGGAGATCGACTATCAGGAATCTCCATTACTGTTCACTGAACACACTTCATTGTCCTACATCTATTCCCTGTGGTGCAATACTGTGCTGCAGTTGCATAAGGAGGTTAAACACAAAAGTTCATGCATCCTTTATTAGGGGAAACAAGACAAAGCCAATTTCCTTGCCTGGCAACAATGAAGTAGCCATTAGCATCCCACCATCCCAAGCTGGCGGCAGAGTCAGCCACGGGCCCCACCAAACTGCAAAGTGCCAAGCACCAGTCGGTCGCAGGTACACTTGCCACACTAACCTCAGCTGCAGGAACAGCCCCTTGAGCTGGATGATACCATTCTTGCCTGAAATGCTGCAGGCACAGCTCCAAACTCAACAGCAATTTTCCTGTCAGACCAGGCAACACTGGAAAAGGATAAAACTGGATAACAGAAACACTGCCCCAAAACCTCTGCGTTTTGGGGCTATTAGATGATTATGGAACATTTCTATCACCCTCTTTTCCTGTTTCAAACTGGTTAATGGCATTTACTCCTAGCTTAGGGCCCCAGAACTCCTGCTGTGTATGCCTGGGATTTTTTCTAGGCTAACAGCCACCCTGGGAGGCAGAGAACACTAGAGAAGGAATAAAAGAAACAAGTGGATACAAAATAATAAAAACTCAGACTATTACTATCTTCTTAGATCACTCTGAAGGCTGGGAAATAAAAAAAACGAAAAAGGAAAGAAAGAAATCCCTCAGGATCACTTTTTCTTTGCTCTGTTTTTTAGACATTAATATGCACAGTAGAGGGCTGCCTCTGCTATGATACTACACAAGATGTTTCAAAGTTTGGATATGGCACTCTGTTAAGGCACCTTCAAGTAATGGTCATTGATTTAATCACTAAGCAAAACTGCATTTTCTGTACCCGACGCTTCCTCCAACACACACGGTTAGAAGCAGCCTGGTTACTCACACCTGCCATCCACAGACAAAAAACTCCTGGTGCTTGCTAGGGAGAAACTACACCAGCCACTACTGAAATAAATACTAGTCAGGGTTTAGGAGCAAATATTTTGCACAACTGTGTGGTTTCTTCCCCAAAAGGGGAATAAGGAGAAAATTAAGTGTGGTCTATCCCTATCTGTCTACTAGATTAGCAGGGTTAAAAATATTTATCAGCCTAAAAAATTAGAAGCCAGCTCTGTACTACTGCAGGATTCCTTGCTGGGAGGTGAAGCTGTAAAAGCAGGCATTCAGTGCGGGGTGCCTAGTGCAGAACTGGATTTGTTTCAGAACCAACAGGAGGTACAAGGACACCCTCCCCTAGAAGAGGATGGGGCAAGCTCCTGCACATCACCTCGCCCTGCCACACAAAACGGTACTGGATTTGGGTTTTGTCAAGGGGATGGGGATGAGGGAGGCATCTGAAGATGAGGGGAGCTGAGGGGAGAGGAAAGCTCAGGCATCGCTCTGTGCAGACAGCTCGTTTCATCCCCCCAGACAGTGGGGAGGATGCAGCTGAGGGGCGTGGGGCTGTGGGGCCAGCGGGCACCTGCAATTAAGCCCAACTAAGGGTGACTGTTTCTACACAAAACAATACCCAGTCCTGGAAAGGAATGAGAGGGGTAGGACAGGGGCATAGCTCCTAGCACAAAAGGAGAGATTACAGTGGGCTGTTCCCCTGCTCCAAGGTGATAAGGGGTCCCAAGACACCCACCAGACCTGCCTCTCCCCCTGCGCCACTCACCCACACCCCAACCCACACTGTGCACTGGTGACACAAGGTGCAATGGGAACCTCAGGAGAGCAGGATCAGCCTGGTCTCCAGGTAATGATCTCCAGGGAAAAGAAACCTCCCCACCCTTGACACTCTCCTCCAGGTGGACGACTTGATATTTGGTAGCTGTGTGCAGCTCCTTCTCCAGTAAAAAGCCGCATCTTTTCCTTGCACAGTCAATGAGAAACGCAGTGTGATCTGTCATGCGCTTGGATCATGGGCTTGTTCGTTCACTTGAATTAGCAACGGGGTTTTTTTTTCTTCGGGGACTAGAATCATCACTCAGGTATTTACAAACACCAATCAGCGCCTTTGCGAGGTCTCCCCCAAACCATCATGACCAAATCACCGTCTGCAAGAGCCCCGAGCCGGCTGTGTCCAAACAAGCCCGTGCTTGCTGGGAGCTCGGGGCTGCTGGGGGAGAGGGGCACTGCACCTCCGAGTCCTGGGGGGATCTTCCCAGCCGGCTGTCTCTTCCGTGGGATGCCTCTCCCTGCATCCCCGTCCCAGCGAGCCGGCTGCCACTACTGCTGCTGCGGGAGCAGTGGTCCCGCTCGTACTCCTCCTGAGCCTTTTGCATCTTCCGCTTCTTCATCTTCCTCTTGTGGATGTGGAAGGTGGTGAGGGAGAGGAGGATCAGGCAGAAGATGAGGGTAACCAGGACAATTAAAACCAGGGTGGATGAGAAGGACTGGAAGAGTTGACCCACTTCCGTGATGCAGGTGCTGCTGGCATTTAAGGTGGCAGACATCCTGTTCAGGAGACAAGGTGGCAGGGAAAGCCTCAACTCCTTGGATAGCTTGGCACTCATTGAGGAGGTTTCAGCAGACGAGGATCTCCTCCTCTCCTCTCTGAAGAAGCCTGAATTTCAGTCGGTGCCGGGCTGCTGGCGGGAGCTCGCTGGAAACGCCCGGGATGCTGCCGGCTCGGCTCAGCCTCACGCTCTCTGAAGTGACAGAGCAGCCTGCAAAGGGAGCCGGACACATCAGCGCTCCGAGGCACCCACCCTGCAG